CTCCCATGGTTGCTCTGCCGCATACTTTAGTGGTTTGCCTCGGTGTCGAGGGGTCAGTCTGAGCCAGTCCCAACACTGAGTCTCTAGTGTTGTCCCCCTTGGGGCCCTGGGCCAGCAAGAGACGGCGTGTCTCCTAGTGGGATCAGCCATATGATCCACTCTGTGGATTGGCTGCTCTGAGAGGGGATATCATCCTCCAGGCCTGGTGGGCCAGGATGTGCTCCACTCTCTCTTCCTCCCCCTTCATTTGCTCCCATGTGCTCTGATCAGATATGTCCCTCTCCCCTAGCTGCAGCTTCAGTGCCGTCCTCTAAAGTAAATTCTTCTGGGGGGATGGACAGTTGTCCATGTAGCTGGTATGGGGGAAGAATTCTTTTTTTTTTTTTGGCACAACCTCAAACAAACTTTTGTTATCGGCAGCCCATGTTTCAGTACCCACTGGAAGGAAGGTCAGATACAGGTGCCAATACAGGTCAGCTGGCCAAGGGGAATGGTATAGACCATCTGCCACCTGGGTAGTTGGTGAGAAAAGCCTACCTCAGAATACATGACCTGACTGCCACTTGGACCAGGAAGAACCTGAGAGGCTGGAGGGGGGTTTGAGGCACACAGAACTCACCGCCCAGCATATATAGGACCAGTACACAGGGGACCACCTAGAATACAGGCCCACCGGAACCCCCGGCACCCCCAGCCTGGCTAGGCTGTGGTTGTGCATGGGCTTCTCTCGGGTCTTCCTGGCACCACACATGGCCTGTCTCCTCTCTTAGTGGGCAGGTTGTCATCAACAGAGTCATAGGTGTGTCCAGAGAGGCTGTGAGGAAGTGCCACCCTTTGACAAACGTCGTCTTCTGCCATCCTGACAAAGCCAAGGTCCACTGGGCAGCACATGTGGGATGAGGGACAGGCCTCTAAACCTCATCAACATGTGTGTACATGCTCATGCATGGAAGCCAATGAGTTTGTGTGTGTGTGTGTGCCTGTACCTGAGTGCATGTGTGCCCACATATAGGCATACATGCTTACGGTGTGTGAGGGTATGATGTGTGTTGGCATGTGTGCCTTGTGTGTATAAGTGTATGTGGGATGTGTGTGTGCAAATGTGCCTTTTATATATCATTTGTGCCCATATGTGTATCTACATGTGAGTGTATGCATTTGCAAATGTGTATCATGTCTACAAGTATGCACACATATGTGTGCATGCCCTATGTGTAAATGTATGGTATATGTGTGTATGTGTGCACATGTGCCTTGTGTAAACACGTGTCTGTGTGTGTATATGCCTGTGTGAGCATGGGTACCTGTGTGTACAAGTGTGTGTGTATAATTGTGAACTGTGAGAGTGATATGCATGTGTCTGGGGGCTCGCCATGTATGTTCACATATGCACAACATTCCTGGGACCTCGTGTCAGACACGGGTCTCCCCCCAGGCTGGATGTGGACACAGAAATTACACAGATCAAAGCTCTGATCCCCAGGATGCTGTCTGAGTCTCCCATGGTTGTGCAATGTGGATATGGAGGGTCCTGTCTATGCCAGGCCCACCTTGGGGTGGGGTTAGGTCTATAGCCTGAACTCGTGAGTACTGGTCTCCCATTGGGTGGGGTCCTTGTCCAGTATGCTGTGCTCTGGCAGTCTGTATCCTCAAGGATGATGGTGTGGGTTCTGGTGCCGTAGTCTGGGCAGCGCATGCATCCCGCCGCATCCTTGGTCAGGATGCCCTGGTCCCCAAGGGCCAGTCTGGCAGTTGTGCCTCCTCGGTGTTAGGCACTCTGAGGAGCTGGGCGATGAGGGCGTCCTTGGGCAGAGTCTGGCTCTGCTCCAGCCTACTGGAAGAGCCGCATCCCAAAGCTCAGTGTCCGCCAGGGCGTGTCCAGCAGTGCATTGCTTAGTCCATAAGGAGCCTGGAGTGAGGACTATGGGCTCAGGCTGCCCTCAGTTTCCATGGAAACACATAATGTCTCCCTTGACTGTGCTTAAATCAGCTGTGATCAGATTGAAGCCATTGTACAGGTGCCCCTCTGTGGAGATCTTTAGGAAGGACAAGCTGTCTGTCATTGGTCAGCAAGTGGGTGACCAGTTCACCCCTGCCCCGGGCGTCCCTATCCAGCCTCAGCTGCAGGTCATCATTGAGTGCCGCCAGTTTGTCCTGCCTTCCTTCCCTTCCTCCCTGTCCAGCCCCCGGAGAACCTCATCCTTGATCCCCCAGATGTCGGTTCGCTTGGACAGCCGGTGGTAGAACTCCTCAGTTGGCTGCTAGGAAGAGCCTGTAAGCATTTTTGGAAACAGTGCGAGAGTCAAACTTGAAGATGATACACGGGGTTCTCTCAGAGGCTGCCTCCCACAGTCACAGTCGGCTGCCTCTCTCTCGCTGCCACCTCCAACTTCTAGAATTCATTTTAAATGATGGCAAAGCCTGACAGATGTACCTTTCTACAAAAATCATGCTTCTTTCATAAACATATTTGTTTCACATTCAGTTTTTGTAATATATATATACGTATATATAATATTGGGGTTTCAGTGAAAGTTTACATAGCAAGTTGGAGTCCCATATGAAAATTTTCACACAAAATTTTCAGTGACATTATCCCATTATGAGTCGAAATCAAGTCAATAGCAGTGAGTGTGAGTGTTTTAGTTTCAGTAATCACAATGTGCCAACATTTTCTCTGTTGGTTTCAATTCCAGTACTTTGGCTTCCCTGCCCCTTCATCATCTCTACTTTGCTTCTGAGTAATTGCTGACATCTTGGTCTCACATATTTAGTTTTTAAATGGTATGCCAATCTTGAAGAAAATCACCTTTATTTTGTATGCCTAGCCACTGTAATGAAATTGCAAAGACCTGGGGTTAGAAAATCAGAAGAGATTATAATCAGAAGAGATAAAATCAGAAGAGAAGCAAATACTAGGAATTTCTTAAGTTGAAAAGCGAGGGAAAAACTTGAGCTCTGAGTTGAAATATTGAAGGATTCTATAGGCAAAGTATTGAATGACTGAGGAATCATCAAAAGATGATGGAAGGAATCAGAATCATTGTACCAGAATAACACTGATGAAACGCTTAACTATCTTCTAGTTCTTTAATGTTTCCTCCACTTACTATTATGGTCTTAGTTTTACCTCATTAATCTTTTTAGACCTATGTTCACTTGTATAATTATGTTCATTCGATACAAAAAATCCAAGATAGATAAACCCTTCAGAAATAGTAATGGGAAAAATCATTCCCTGGGGGCACAGAAAGAGAGGTGGGGAGGGGGAAGTGACAGCAATGATCACTGTATAACCCCAGTTGGAGGAAATGAATAACAGAATTATAGGTGAATGGCTACATTGGATGGTGTCAGATATGGCAAATAATAATAATAATATATAATAATAAGGGTTCCTGGGGGGGCAGGATGAGGCAGGGAGGGGATAAAGGGGACTGATGTCAAAGAGTTCAAGAGGAAAGCTAATGTGTTGAAAATTATGGTGGCATCAATTGTATAATTATGGTTGATCTAATTGAATTATAGATTGTTATAATATCTCTAAGAGCTCCCAATAAAATGATTTCAAAAAAGAATCACTGTGCCAAAAAGAACTGGCTGATGTCAACCATTTCAAGAAGTAGCATAGAATCAAGAACTGAAGGTATTAAAGGAAGACGTCAAAGCTGCACTGAAGGCATTAGCAAAAACCAAGTTTTCAGAAATTGACAGATCACCAAGTAAAATGTTTCAACAAACCGATATAGTGTAAATGTGCTCACTCATCTATAGCAAAAATTTGGAAGACACTTATCTGGCCAACTGATTGTAAGTGAGACACACTCCTGTACATTCCAAAGAAAGGTGATTCAGATGTGGAATTTATCAAACAATATCATTAATATCACAAATAAATAAAGATTTGCTAAAAATAATTCAAAAATGTCTGTAGCAGTACATCAGCAGGAAACTGCCAGAAATTCAAGACAGGTTTAAAAGTGGAGTGAAAAAATGGATATCATGGCTGGTGTCAGCTAGAACTTGATTGAAAGTAAAAAATAAAAGAAAGATGTTTAATTGCATGTTATTGACTATACTAAGACACTTGATCGTGTGGATCATAACAAATTATGGATAGCATTGCAAAAAATGAGAATTCCTGTAGAACACTTCATTGCGTTCCTGTGGAACCTGTACATAGACCAACAGGCAGTTCTTTGAACAGAACAAGGGAATACTTCATGGTTTAAAATCAGCATAGGTGTGCACCAGCATTGTACCCGTTCATGACACTTAATTAATTTGTATGCTGAGCAAATCATCCAAGAAGCCAGGCTGTGATAAGAAAAATGAGACAGTAAGATTGGAGGAAGTCTTGCTATGCAGATAGTCAGATATGCAGGAAGTCAGATCTGCAGATGGCACAACCTAACTTGCTGAAGATGAAGAGGACTTGAAGCACTTATTGGTGAAGATCTAAGACTGTAGCCTCCAATTATACCTTAACATTAAAAACCCCCTAAAATTCTGGGCCTCTCCTCAAGTACTCCCTCAACACAAGAACACTTTGTTCTATTAACCTGGCATTTCATGATGCTCACCTTCCCAACACAATTGCTGCAGACAAAGCGAGCACATAAGCACATGAAAAAAGCTGATGGTACCCGCCTATCAAAAGATATAGCATCTGGGGTCTTAAAGGCTTGAAGATACATAAGCGGCCATTTAGCTCAGAAGCAATAAATCCCACATGGAAGAAGTAGACCAGCCTGTGTGATCATGAGGTGTCAATAGAATCAGGTTTCAGGCACCAAAGACCCAGAACAAAAAATCATATCATTGTGAATGAGGGGAAGTGTGGAGTGGAGACCCAAAGCCCATCTGTAGGCAACTGGACATCCCCTTTCAGAAGGGTCGTAAGGAAGAGATGAGCCAGTCAGGGTGCAGTACAGCACCTATGAAACATACAACTTCCGGCGCGGCGGCAGCCCCCGCGCAGGCTGGTCTGCGTGCCCGCGCCTTCCTCCTTCCTCCCCAGCGGCTCCCGGGAGGGTGAGATGGCAGATGAGATCGCCAAGGCTCAGGTCGCCCGGCCTGGCGGCGACACAATCTTCGGGAAGATCATCCGCAAAGAAATCCCAGCCAAAATCATTTTTGAGGATGACCGGTGCCTTGCTTTTCATGACGTTTCCCCGCAAGCACCAACACATTTTCTGGTGATACCTAAGAAGTACATTTCCCAGATTTCTGTTGCAGAAGATGATGATGAAAGTCTCCTTGGACATTTAATGATTGTTGGCAAGAAATGTGCAGCTGACCT